GCTTTACATTTTCTTAGACTGATGCAATAGGAGTATTGTAATAGAAGTAATGTCTACTGGAAGAAATGAAAATACACAACTTAAATAACATTAAAATTCTGAGTATGTTCTTAACATCCATGATAAATCTGCATATGTTATTATTGCTTTTTTAATGCCCAGAAATGGATCTAAATTTATTGTTTGGCATCCTTAGTGACATCTCTTGGCATTCTTATATCTCATACAACCTCCCTCCCCCCAGAAGGGAGAGTGGGGCCACTTGAAAGTGAATATGAATGTTGGTAATGTCATTGACATTAGTGTCTCTTCATAATCCCTTGTAGTCATGCCTTTGACCCTACCCAGCCTACTGAAAAAAACCCAAGTTAGAGCTGTAGGTTTTGTGTAGAGAACAGATTCCTTGATCAGCAATACAATCTCTTCAGTTTTTTTGTCCAAAATTCAGCCCGTTTTCAGTGTTACCAGTCTGGGTTTCCAAAGCCATTTCCCATTCCTGTAATTCAGATATAGCAGTTACCTAATTTAGATGATGGCAATGTGTGGTTTTTTCTCTCTAGTTCTTTTGATGTTCATGAAGGACTGAAACAGGAACTATATGTTCTAGCACTGCTAATTAATTTTTTTGTCTGTGTGAATTTGGGTTAAAGATAAATGAGAGTAACTATTTTTAGGCTTATTGGAATTCCTCATCACTGTTTCTTATCTTTTACTTTTCACTACAAAATTCTGTTTTATTTTAATGCAGGTACAGCCTGACTATTTGGACTGGGAAAAATGATAACTATTCCATTGAAGATTTACTTTGCATTAGAGACCATTTTGACAAAAAACAAGTTTTCTATGACATCTTGGAACCACAAAACCATGAATTTAAACAAGCCATTGGAGTCAAAGTTAATCTCTAAGAAGATTCTTCTAAATTATTTCATGTTTTGGTTTCATAATCCTCTGCTTTGGTCTGAATTAATTACCATATAAATTGTGATGATTGATTTATGCTTTAATTCATCTAATCAAAAAACACTTAGTGCTTACTTTCTTAGGCCTATGCCCTTATGATACCATTTGTACTTCAAAGATTTGGAAAGAAAAGATTTCAGTGGGCCTGGTCTAATAATAATTTAGGAAAATTATGCTTTAAACCCCTTTATAAAATGTAATTTTGATATGCTGAAGATAATTGAAAGAATTTACATGTCATAACCTGTAATCGCATTACATGTGATACAGGTATAAATCACATTTTGGTTGGCCTTACATTACAGAGATTCCACAAATTTGTGGCACCCACTTTCTTTTTTCCTGGAGAACTTGTTATTTCAGAGACTAAGGAAAAGTAAGAGGGCTTTAAAAATGTTATAATTTTCACAGAGGTGAGCAGCTTTCTCATAACAGAATAAAATCCATTTACTGAAAACAATATAGATTAAATTAGATGGATCTAGAATTTCCATATTGTTGGGAGCATGCTGACAACTATATATGTTGTTTATATTCTTTGTTTCAATCATAGTATTTTATCTATAGTAAGTACAATATTACTGGAGAGCAGAATTTTTTATTTATTTATTTATTTTTAAGATTTTATTTATTTGACACAGAGAGAGAGCTAGTGAGAGCAGGAACACAAGCAGGGGGAGCAGGAGAGGAAGAAACAGGCTTCCCACCGAGCAGCGAGCCCGATGCGGGGCTCGATTCCAAGACCCTAGGATCATGACCTGAGCGAAAGGCAGACGCCCAACGACTGAGCCACCCAGGCGCCCCTGGAGAGCAGAATTTTAATCCTAGTAACATATCATTTGATTTTCAAGTTCCTCACCGGCACCACCTTAGTTCAGGCCCTTGTTTTACTGCTAGAATCTTAAAAAGTTCTTCATGACTTCATTGTTCACATTCTACTCAGAGATGCCCTGAGTATTTCTGTTGAAGAAAACTTTTGTAAGCACCTCTTGCCAAATCAGAAAGCTCCAGGGGTCTCTTAAATGCCACTTAACTAAATTTTACTCTTTCAAGATCCTTCATAATGTAGCCCACTCTAAACATCAACTCAGTGACCTTCAGCACAGTAATCATTTCAAAAATGCCTACAACAACAGTCTCCAGATCTTTAACAGTTAATTTTAACTATTTGATATTGTTCACTAATTAGGTCATAAATGTTAGTTTTATCTGCTCAGCTAGGTTATATAAAGTCCTTCATGGTAAGGGAACATTCTTAACTGTCCTTTATAGTGTGTGCCATAGTCTTTTTTTTTTTTTTTT